CAAATATTCATAATGTTCACTATGTATATTTATGAACGGTTTAAAATGAAAAGGATTATATTTTGTTATAATTTAACTGATCTATCTGTGTATGCAATTAACTTCATTTAGATGAAGTCAATTTAAATTAAACAGTATGTTTAATATAGCCGAATGAAGAGAGAAAAAAAACAAAATTTTCTTTAGAAAATTCTATACTAATCCCATTTTTATTTGTTATTTAAGTTTAATTTATTTAATCTGGTTGGCGTTTGTTTTTTTTTGGTAAGATTTTTTTCTACGAGATAGGGTTGATGATCCTATACCCAACCCTCTTCCTTTACCCGGGCTTGGGATCGGCAGTAACTCTAAAAGAGCTATAGACGAAATTTGTTATTTAAGTAGTAGACTTAAATAGTTTTGATATTTTTTTGGAAAGATATTTTGATATTTTACTTGAAAATAAAATAATGATTGAATTTAGATTCATAAAACTGATATAAATCAAATAATTTATAATGATATTATTTTTCTTATAATTAGTTTTACTAATCTGTAGTCATTAACATAAATTGTCTAATCGAATAACTGGAACTCTTGTAAAATCTACACTTTTAGATATCAATAGATTATTGAAAAATCTGTGATTGAATTAAAATTATTACATCAATTTAATGTGATTTATCTTATTCCATTGTAGGTGTATTTTTCTGTTTAAATATGATCATGATCACTTTATCAACATTTTTAGCCACCATGGTAATCCATCTTTATTTCCGTGGTGATCGTAAAGGTGCAGTACCATATTTTCTACGTCGAGTAAGTGATGTGTTTCATACATCTATATAATTTAATGCATCATTCATTCAAAAATGACATTGAAAGGTATATATATATTTCAGTAAAATAAAATCAAACCTTCCAAACCAAAGGATGTCAAATGTTTGATTTCTGACCAGTTATCAAAATAGTGAAAGTAAAATTGTTAAGATGTGCAGAAAAATCTACCAATAGTTATCATGTTAAGTTTAATGTTGTCATTGGACGCTAAATGTACATTCCCTATTGGTCGATATTTGCTTCACTTGTTTAATATTGTGTAAATGTTGTTTTCTATTTTTATGGTACGATGTGGTCTGCTTGGTTAGTATATAAACAGGGTGTGTTTGAAATATAGTGATTCATATCTCAGAGGCTGTGACTTTCGTTCTGGACTCAACTGGCTGGGATAGATAGGGAAGCAGGGCCAATCAGAACCCTAGGTCGTCCGTATGTATTTACGTGTAACTAAATCGATCGATATAAGACGCTGCGTATCAAAACCTGCAGTCTCACCCGTTACAACGAAAATCGATAATTATTTTAGATATTCGTATTAATAAATAAGCAACTCAAAGATAATTTACATACTATTGACAACTAAATATGGATTGGGCGAAGTATGATATTATTAGAACATTAGTCCAGTTTCCAGTGAATAATTCCGCGGGATCTCACACGATCAGATCCTTCAATAGATTTAGACAGAGCAACAACAGCAAGGTTTGAAGAATAAAATGAATTTATTTTAGACTGTGTGAAGCCGATGAAAATTTGTTATAGAATGGATTCATTTCATGCAACTAGTTCCTTTCATGAATTTGCATAAAGCTTTATTTAAACTACTTCAATACTTATTCATTTTTAGATTATAATAGAAGGAATTGGGAGACTAACATTAGTAAGACAAAGAATCCCATTACCAGATGTAAAGAATTCAAAAAGGAATGTTTTTGCAAAATATCACAGAAAGATTCTTATCTCCCAAATATCTCCTGCTAAAACCAAACAGGCTTATCAAAACAGATGTAAAAATGAACAAAACAGATATTTTGGGGGTGGATTTTTCCCGCAATGTAATGAATCAGTCAATCAACCTGCTTGTGGAGATCAATATTTAGAAAATATCACCACTAACTGGTCTGGTTCAACTGAATTTCAAACATTTAAAGAATATTCTGGGAAATCCTGTCCACATATGATGAAAACGTCAATTAAACTTAATCATCGAATACCGGAAATTTTACAGCAAATTATGCATAATGATAATAATATGAATAATTATCCATTCAGAATGATAAACTATGATGAATCAGAAAGTTATAATTCAACCACTACACTTGAACGTGATGTCAGAGAACTGAAAAAATATGTTAAAATAGTAGTTAATCGACAGAAAGAAACAACTCATAAAAGTTTAATAGCTATGGAATGGCGTACTTTAGCAATTGTTTTAGATCGTTTATTTTTCTTCATATATATTACTACTATTCTCATTGCGGTTGTTGTTTCAGTACCATATAACATCGAATTAGAAATACCAGAAGAATTTCAAGATTCCGAAGAACGAGTAAAAAACTGATGAGTTCTTTTTTAAAGAATATACATTATTTGATAATTCATTTCCTTATCATTACTAGATTGTGATTTTTTTGGAAGGAATACAGAAAAACACAACCATCACATCGTCTTTTCTCGTTATTTAACTTATTAAATAATATATGATAGTTAAATTCATATATATTTGAAATTATCATTTTTCCACCAATTACATTAAATTGACTTACTTTCTTTTTCCCAATCGAATTGAAGAATTCCCACAACATGGATATTTTTATTCCTGATAAGCACTTTTATAATGATTTATTTTTCTTTAAAATGCTAAGAATTACATGTGCTTTTATTATAAAAAAATTGAACATTTTTATTCTTAAAAATACTTACAACAACAATATGGATTTATCGATTGTAGGAACTAAGTAAACATCTAAGTTGTAGTTCTATTTGTTATAAAGATATAATAAAATCGAGATTATCTAATTGGACTGTTTAGAGTTGTTGTGAATTGACTTGAGTGAGTCAAAAGGAATTAAGCGAATTCCCATCCTAGAGTGAAATACTTTAAGGGTGATTATCTAGAGCCTTGAGCTGTATAAAACTCCAATCTTTTAGGTCTTGAGACGATTTCTTCCGACGAATATTTCGCTACCGATTGCATCTACCAACACCAGTCAACCGTTCCAACCGAAACCTTATGTAATTGTTCCTGAACAGATATTCTTGTTAGCGAGCTTATTATTGCTTCTATAGAAATGTTTATCTATAGGCTATTTTTTATTTCTTTTATTAAATATATCAACTTAATGTCTTGTTATTTTGAACCAAAACAAAAGCCTTTGTGTATTATTATTCAACAAAATCTATAAACTGTTGGGAGTAAAACTTGAAAAAGCATATTACGAAATATTGGTGACAGTTTCCATTCACTCTTAAAATATGGCGCCAATCATTTCATCAGTGATATTAACTATACTTTCGAGAATATCGGAATTGGGCAACTGCGACTTCACAAATCATCATAACACTTTATTGATGCCTTTTTAACAACTACAAAAGACAGTTTCATTTCTTCCTCAAACAACAAATGTTGGTGTGAAATATGTTAAAAGATATACAGAAGCTAATTAAGCACAATCGAAAACTGTGCTCAATTTCAGTTCATATGAACTTTCTATCGCCCGAAATCTGACTCCAATTGGGTCGTATTATCGAAATATACATCTTGGTTACCCTCATATATAATCGTCGGCATAACTCGCATTAGTGAATAACAGAATTAAATCAGTCAAATACGAAAATGAATTTCGAATACGTGTATTTCACACAATCGTTGATCTGGACAGGGAAGAGAGCGAAGCGAAATAACGCGCAGTAGCGGCGAATGAGTCAATACGATTTAATCAAGAGTGACTCAATATTCACAGTCAGACAAAAATAAGTTACAGACATGTGACGAGTAGAGTAAGCGATACTGCTGGGAATGCTAGATCCCCAGAAATTACTTGGTAAACGTCATATTTCTGTAATTTGAATTTCTCATTCCCACACCCGTCCTTATCCTGATTGTATTTCCCGTTTGAAAGGACCCTAAGTGTCATTGGTTGGTTGACACTTTTAATATGCCATTTTGTGCAGCATATATACGCTTGAGTTGTGGCGCATATATATTGGCGCTCTCTTGTACCAATATTTATGCATTCAAATAAATAAATAATAAAATGAGTTGTGTGCTTCTGGCTGCTTACGCAATGTACTTCCCCTAATCTGAACCCCGACTTCTCCCTCTATTTAAACGGGCTGGGACACATTGGAATAGTTTAGCTATCTTCTCGCTGAACCTTCGTTCCGTTCGCCAATTTTTAGGTAATTTCGTAATCCCTTCGAATATAGTAGATACGCGTACACACGATCATGTAAAAACAGTCAGGGTTAATAAGTGAATAATGAGCAAGATCAAAACGTAACTTGGAGAAAATAAATCGGTCTGTCCAGAAGCCAGAACAACCTATGCGGGCTTGACACAGCACCAGCCACTACAAGCTCTTGTTTTATCTTTTTTTGAACACAAAAATATTGGTACAAGAGGGCACCAAATATATATGCCCCACTACAAGCTAACATCTTCATGAATTCTGTAATTGAACAATTTACAGTACTCTATTGGTATAATTTGGTTAAGTAAAACGATTAACAATTGGCTGACGAAATCCTGTCCTTTTAAATCCGTTCACTGTGTAGTTTGTCTTCCCCACGCACAGATAGTTTTCATTTGTTACAAATGAACTTTGACAACCTTGGTCAAAGGAATGAGCATATGGATTATTAATTTGAACCCCGCCACAACTAGTTTATTAAGATTTTAACACTATGAACAACCAACCATTATGGTGGGTGTATGACAATCAACGGGGAAAGTCAGCAATCTACATTAGCAATCAATCGAGATGGATCTACATAGGTCATCTGAAAATAAGTCAGAAAATTCCATTTTTCAAAGAATAATAGCCCAATTTAGTCACAAACTCCCGACGTTAGAAAAACATTATTGTAAGTCTGCTTATTGTCACTTTCCTTTTAGTTTTTAATTACAACAAAACTCCAGTTCAATGGGATAGAATGTAATGTATTTCATGTAGTGGAGAACACGTTCACCAACTTTTATAGATTTCAAATATAATCAAACTGTAATCCTCCAAAGCGTAATTAAAATATATGGTAAGTATGAAATAGTATTTTATCAAGCTGACTCGGTAATTAGCGATTATTCTTATATAGTGTTTTGGTAACAAATTCCGGGATCGTTAAGTTAATAACTCTAGAGTATCAACAACTGAATTATTCAGTCAACATGGAATCCTTATATCCCAGTAGTAATAAAACTAGTTGAAGTCATGTAGTTTTACAGCTTTTCAGTTGTCTCCGTCAATAAGATAGCGGTTGCCTTTCGAACACTAAATTAATTTCATAATTCGATATTCAGGTCCACTATAAAATGGATAGGCAATATTAACATTCATTTGAACTGTAAAGCTATGCCCCATTAAACTTCTTTTTTTGGATTCGAAAGAACCGAAAACAAATCAGGTAAAGCTTTGACACAATACTGTTTATGAAGTACGAAAAAATAAAAATATAACAATGAACACGAGTAAATAATGACAATGGTGAATAGGAAATACACAAAAAGGCAGTAGGTACGTAATAATTGATGATGACAATGAAACTGCGTATACAAAACGAATTACAATTTGTGATTTAGTCAACAGAAGACAAAACATTTATGGTTGTATAGCTGAAATCATAACATAATTTCGTAAGTTTTTACAGATGTTGAACAAGAGAGTTTGGCTGAAACAGTAAGCACGTTGACCTTAAGTAGTGTGTACTGATAAAGTGGCTGGCAATGATAGTCCACAATTACAACCATTAATTAGTCCGTCAGTCGGAGCTAAAAGCAAACGGAAAATCCAAGTGATTAATGCAGTAAATTAAATATGTCAAAAAGATCTATTTACCTGTTTTATATACAAATACGTTAAATAAGACCTCTCTAGATAAGTATGCCACCATAAACTGAACTCCATTAGGATCACGTTACTCTAATGATGACCGGTGGGTCAAACATGACACCACAGAGCAAACTGGCAGGAGAGTAAGTTATCAGGTATATGTGATGCTAAATGTTTCTGAGCTGAGGAAAGGTGAAAGATATCTTGAAATTTTCCTCTAGGAACATTAAACTAGATTCGACCCAATCTTTATGTGCAATATTAAGGTTTTATATCATTTCCGTAAATTAACCGTTACCTTACGAAACAAAATACGCTGGAAAAATGTATCTATTTCAACAAATGTCAGTAAAAACTTTTACTATATCACCACTAAGGACAGATTAATTTAATGTTATCAATGGCAAGAAAAGTAAATATCCACAGACTTTATAAATATGGACAGAAAGTACAAATCACAGTGACCTATGTTTTTTATAGACAGTTAATGTAGGAATGAATATCATCGCAAGTCAACAGACAGTGTGGCCTGGATTATACAGCTTGGTTATATATAATTCTTGCATCGATGTATAAGGAAGCCAATTCAATAAATTAGGTTGAACTGGTCAATTATATTATGAACTACCTGGAAGTTATGTTACAATGAGAGGATATCATATAAACAATGACCATCTTCAGTGTTGCTCATTCCGAGACGGCAAAACAAATAAACCACCAACAGAATATATGTAATATATTAAATTGTCTAACATACATTTGATAAAAGTAGACTTACTAACTATTCATCAAAAGAAATAGGCATGTTGATTGTTTTTCTCGCGTGTAAATGATGGATATTATGGGTATGATTTCCTCAAGCTACCTAGAGGTACTAATTGATCAATCCATTTACCACGAGATCCTCGAGATCGAGCAATTAAAAGGTAACTTTGTAGTGTAAATTGCAGCATATTAGTGAATCACTTGGAGAAATTCATACCCATGCCGTCCATCCTTCATACATGAGAGCAAGATTATCAACATTAGTGGCTTCATGAATGCAAGCATCTATTTGAGCACTGATGGACATTGATTGATCCGTGTTAGCAGTAGGTAAAAACGAATCAAATCCATGCAAACGGTTGTAGATACGATTCCAAACAGACAAAGCCGCCATGTTTAGAGATCTTCCTGAAAGTATAACCTAGAGATGAAAGGAAATAATCATGATATAGATATAGAAAAGACAAAGTTAAGAAATACAGTTCACAAGAAACGAAGTATAAAAGTCCAAACTGGATAAATTACCTTTTCAACCTTCGGTGTTGGTTTAGGTTCAATGATTTCTACCTCCGACTCCTTCATTTGAATAAACATAATCTCTTTAATATTTCTGTAGTGTTCATTGAGCATATCCAGGAAACCTTCTAGAGAATGATATAGATGTGGATTACAGGAAACATTTTCATAAATTCCATTTAGCAGAGGTTTGATCAGTTCTTCCACAAGCTTACATTTAACAAGTAAACAATCTTTATTGAGAGAAGTTGCAAATTCGGTTTCATCTATTGTTTCACAAGGTTCACATGATTCCGAAGTAGATCTTCTGACTGAAGGTGAGAACGAACTAATAAATTTGGTTAATCTTTTTAGAACACTTAAAACAATAGTAGTCCAATTTTGATGTCCGTCTAACCAAGCGCTCCAGACAGATGTAGTACATGTTTCACTGAGCGACATCTGATCGGAACGTAGTAAATTTAGTCGAACAGAATCATAACGGCTGAGAATTTTTACAATTTGTCGAATATCAGACAATTTTTCTTTTTGTAATGTACTGAGCTGAAATCGTAGTGATGCTATCATTGTAGGTTGCTTAGCGTTAGTAGATGCCTCAGAAGAACATAAAGATAATGAAACAGTGGGTTGTAAAGTAGGTGTTGTTAAGCGACAAGATTGTGGGTTGCGATTAACTCTTTTTGGAATTACTACCGGTGATGATGATCGATTAAAGCTAACATCGTTTAACGGCTCCGATTTTAAGTCCATCTCATTGAACTCTTCCTTTATAAATAAAAGGCGTTGATGTAGATTGTTGACTGCTAACTCCGCAGAAGTAAGATCGCTTTCAACAAGTTCAAGTAAGTTGCTTTTGACAACTTCATCTGAATGTCTATCAGATGATGATTGAAACCAATCGTGAATCGGCCACTTCAGACCGTACGTGTCCTAGAAATAAAAATCGGAATTTATTGAGTGTGGTTAATAGTAATACTAATAACAATAATACTCCGTAATTAATCTTTTCACAAGGATATTGTATGCAGAGAAGAATTGTTTTCGTTGTGAGTAAACCTAATGAAAAACGAACAAATTTAAGTTTGAACTGATTCTCCAATCTGAACAGTTAGAATTATTTTGAATCATTACCGATGCACACGAAAATGGAGAAGGTAAATGCAATACCTTGACTAATTACACTGGAATTAATTGGAAATTATGTAAACCATTACGAGTAATCCTTATAACCGAAACGAACTTTATCGATTTTGTTTCTCACACAAAGTTTTCAGTTTACTTAGGCTATTACTAACAGACTTACCAACTAAAGGTTGTTGCTCGCATCGTTAAACACATTTCATAGAAGCTCAAAGTAAAAAGATGGTGCGGTTGCACGCCATTTGCTTGATAGTGGTTATGATGTTGAAGTTTCAGTCTTTCAAGATAATCGATCAACAAAGAACATTCAATTTAATAGTTTTGCTGAAGCGATTACTATAAAGAGGCTGAAACCAAATTTATGAATTCGAAGACTCAGTTATGAACTCTGCCTTGCCACAGTAACTTCATCCATAAATATTTGTTACGTAAATCTTTCCAGTCAATGATGCTAATTAAAAATTCTCACTTCTTATCTGATCTCTACTCAGTCAGTCGATTTCATTTTAAGGATTAAATAACAATGATAGTAACATTTCATTTTTGAATGATTCATTTTTTATGCTCTTAATTTTTAGTCTAGAATATTGAAACAGTCAACCGATAGTTATTCACATTATTCAACATAAGAACATGTTTATTGGCTTTACCAATACTTATTACTCTTTTCATTAATCTTCTTTTTTAATCTCTATCCTAACAGAATCACTTAATTAAATGAGAGTTTGAATTTGATTTAAATGAAAGTTATTACAGTGGTTATTTATAAATAGAAAACTACTTTCAATTGACTGATCACTGGGTGATCAATGTCATGTATGTCAGGTCTTTCTTAGTGCAGATCGAATCCTATAGACCAAGACACAATGTTGCCACCAGTCTAGGTGACTCGACATTGCGTGCACTATGTTGAGATAACATGGTGGTTGGAGGTAGTCAACAGGAAACTCTGGACCTAGGTTTCGTGCTACTTGAAATTATTACTAACGAGATAGGTATAGTTGAAAAAAGAATACACTTTACTAGATATTACTAAATCGTGAATTCTGAGAATCTGTAAGAAATCAAGATTCATAAACCATGATGAATGAAATTGAGTCAGTGTAACTGTCTAGTAATTATAAATTATGCTATAAGGAGGAAATTCGTCGACAGGTATTGTAGATTGTTATGGTCACTGAAGTGAATTTGTTATTATTACTATTATTTATGTGGTAAATTAGTAAATGAATGCAGATAATCAATATTGTTAAGTCTGAAATCTTCAACACTTGATTGTGTTTATAAAATCAGTCGTATATACATATACAGAACATAGAAAGTTCGATTCATACCTTTACTGAATAAATTATCTGATCCAACTCAGTGAACTCTGATATTAGTTTTTCCTTATGTTTTATTGCCTTTTCCAGTTCATTGACTATATTTACACACCGTGAGAACGATGAAGAGGACGATAGACCGCTGAATAGAAAAGAACAGTATATAGATATATATTTTCATCAATAATGAATGCAAATTAAATCTAGGCTTATCAATACAAAAATTACAGTTTAAGTATACATTTTTATGGTACCGATTTACTGACAGATACACAAGTAATGGAACCAATTGTACGGTAATCAATCAACTTTTTGATCATTATAAGCGTTGATAAACTAGAAAGTTGTGAAATGTTGATGGAATATTTTACGATAATAATAGTTTCGATAACAAAGAATATTGAACATGATCTAAGAAAGTGGAATTGAGTTTAAACGGCTAAATATTTAGTTATTCATTTCAATTTCCTTTTACTTAGATAATTCTGATGCTTAAGGGAACTCGTAATCACTTATTTGATTGAAATATAAACCTTACAATTTAATAAATGAACTACAAAGCCACTATAGGGAAATAATAACCTTAAGAGAGATGGAGGTATATATAGAAGTAAACAAACGAAAGATAAAAACTTAGTATGGCGCATTCTGTTTACACAAAAGTTTAGGACAAATACTTTCATATATAAAGCTGCAAGGAAACAAATAAATACACTAACAACTAGACTATTGACCATAGTGTGAAGGCGTAAGATTATACATACGTATTACCTCGGGTTAAACAAAAAAGTTGCACAGGAAATATCCGAATGTACTTACTATTATCATTGTGGAAAAACGTGGTTCGACTGGACACGAATCTTATTAGAATTAGAATTATGTGAAAAAAGACATACCTTGATCTCAAAGTTTCAACGTAATAGATTGACCGGGCAATAGCGTTTGCTGAAATCTCCGACATGTTTTCGCCAGAAGCGGATCCTAATTCAGCAGCATCTTTGATTGAATTGAGAGCATTCGTTAAGCAAATACATGGATCTTGTTTGAAAAGTTGTGACGTTTTGTCGATCTCAATTGTATGCATCCAGTTATAGGCAGACAGGCTTAGAATAAGATGTTTATAATGCTGTTCAGCAGCCTCAATTTCAAATGTCTCTTCCGAACATTGACTTAGTTGACTTGAACGGGTAACTAGTCGATGAATAAGATTACATGCAGGTGTTCTAAGATGCTGCACACTAACAGGCTGCGTTAGTGAGATTTGAACATTTACACTTTCGACAATTTTCTCAGCAGATAGACTTACAACACTAACCGATCCTGATGCTTTAACGGAGAGTTCACCTTCAACCAAAAGTCTATGAATTGATAATCCGGTATTTTCAACAAGTACACAAAATAGACGACTCGACGCTAATCCAACTAAGCTTGCTAGTGCAAGACGTGAGGACAAACGACCAATAAAGTTATCTATGGGATCAATAAATAATTTAGGGGTTAAATCTAAAATCTTATCGGCGTAACCATGGTGAATTGCCTGCCAGTGAGTCAATCCATCCTCCAGTATAGAAATAAAAGCCATAATTCCAGCATTGTAAACTTCATCAGTCCAAGATGTAATATTATCCGAAATACTACTCGATAAATTAGGCTCCCATCTCCATAATGAAGCCGCACCTTCGGAGCAATTAGAACTTTTCGACATCAGTACAGTAGTGACTTGAGAAATGATATCGACGTAGTACCACGCTAAAGCTGTTATGGTGCATGAGCTAATTCGTATAGCAATCTCCTCTAACTGAGATGTTGTATTGGTGAGAGCAAGGTGAACAGCAACAAGAACGTGATGAAGTTGTGCATCTCCCTGGTTTTCTATGATGAAATCTTTTAGGAGGAAATTATCCACAAGCTGTCTAAGATTGGTGGTATTTGGTTTGGTCATGTGATGCAGTACAAATTTGGAAAAATTCTCAACCATAGATACATTAGCTGTTATAAGGGATTCTATAGCTTCGGGGACCAGAAGTTTTATTAAATTAGAGCGCAGCTGACTAATACAACGAACAGAATCCTTCACAGCTATGAGGAATGCTAGTTCTCTTCTAACATCTGCCTCGTAGCCAGCATTAAGATTCCAAACACCTGTAGACTGGTGACGAAGAACACTAAACAAGTTTACTAAGCAGTCTGTACATGTCCCAAGCTGATCCAGGGGAAGACTCTTAATATGAGTTGTATCAGTTTGACAGTTACCATTATTCAAATTCCACTCTTTAAAATCAATCTCAATAGCGAGAGAGTTGACAGAAACGCTTAAAACATAATCAAATAAGGCCCAGCAATAAGCAGTTACACCAGCGGCTCCTTGGTCAAATACAAACAAATTCAAATTATTGATTTCATGAAGGATGGCGCTTTCGGGATTTGCGTAATCCGAAATCGAATTTACTTTTTCTTCTTTAATTCGACGTAATTCACATAAATGATTAAAACTTTTCTTGGCTGCTAGCTCTAGTACATTAGATAGTTTTAAATCGAAATTGGAAGTATATAGCGGAATATCAGATGAAATTAAATTCATCAGTGAACCAATATTGTTCGATTTCATTGACAAATCCATTTGTGAATGAAAATATTTTAGTTGATCAATCCAATGGGCCAATGAATCAATAAATTCTGAGCATGTTATATAAATTCTAGCGATTGTGTAGTAGTTAGATAAGGTGACACACAGAGCTGAATTTACATCCTCATTAGACGCAATTAAGGATGATAACCAGGTGGAATCAACAAGTGATCTATAATTTTGGAAGTGCGATAAGATCTCGTCTATCCATATTTTATTCTGTTTTGAAAATTCTCCATGTAGATCTTCTATTCTTTGCTTAGCCTTTTCTACTTGTTGACAACGGTACTCGGAAGACGACAGATCATCGTGAGTAGCAGCTATTAAAGTCAAATAACGAGTTTTTATAAACGAGGCACGTTGACGAGCTTTCTTTAATTCTGTCCAAACAGTTAAACGTGAAACAACTACGTCCAAAGACGAAAATAATGATTCCAAGCAAGTACTTTGAACTAACTCAACAAGTCTTACTGTTAAAAGACCTGAATACATTCGAAGTTCTGAATCAACACGGCGCAAACGTCGATATGTTGATATTGTTTGATAATTACAAGAATTTGTGCTACCACCGCCGTGAAAAGCAGCTAAATGAATGAAATCAGTCACAATTTGAGAACTGGATGTTGGATGCTTTTTTTGTTGCCAATCCACTAAAGGATCGATTAAAAAAGCTTTGAGTTGTATTAAAATAGGGTCAACTATAAGACGTGCTGCTTGTAACCCACTTTCTGCAGTAAACCGGAACGTCCCACGTACTAATGTATCTTGACACGCAGGTCCAAGTGCGTGCCTTAATATCCTTGTTAATCGAAACGGAACTCTTTCTGCAACTCTCAGGCTTTTCCCTTTATCAAAACAAACATTATAATCTATGTGAACAATGTGCCCGGTAGATAGGTCTATGAGGAGGTTATCAAGATGTCGATCGCCAAGACCAACTAGATATCCCAAGCTGCTGAGCAAACCAGCTGACTTAGCAAATGTACGTGTAACCCTCCACCAACTAGCGCATGAGGGATTTGAAGCCCACAACTCACGAGTTAATAAGTCTGCAGGTGTTTCTGCTTCCAAAGATATTAGTACTTCGCGTAGTATCTCCAGAGGCCAATTAGAACGAGATTGAGACTGATAATGGTGACCAGCAGCATGTAGAAACTCTTTAAGGCGAGCATGGAACAGCTCTCCAGGTCTTGGAATTACAGATGTAGACGATACATAGCCATTACTAGAAGTGAGTTTATAATTTCTGAGTTGCCACTTTTTATACAAACTGAAAAGAGGGACAGCACCCTGTACCATTTGCAGAAGACCAGAACGAACTCCTAGAGGAGTAACAGAATATGTTCGGACAAAAGTATTTTCGAAAGATCTAGAATTATTCGACGACAGTTCAACTGCTGCGATATTTGTAAGCTCGAACAAATGCATAATACGGTCATCAAGACGTAAATCTTCTAAACCTTTTAAAAGGTAAGGATAAGAACGACCATTTTGTGCTCTGAGTAAAAGACGCTTCGGTCGAGTTTTTGTTGGCAAGACAGTGATACGGCTACCTAAGTAAGAGGCTCCTATGCCGAGATGTCCCGGTAAGGGAATTCCACAGGTGAAAGATCCTGTGGAACTAACTGAATGATCATTTTCAAATTGTATTGAACAAAGCCGAGGACTGAGTTGCCGTAGATTCAGGTAGGATACATTATTTATAGACTGTCGAACATCAATATCAGGAGCAGCTCCCACTCGAGAAACAGTAGGAACTTGAGAAAAAGATGTTGATTGGTGGGTTGTTTGTAACTGATGAATAAGTTGACGGATAAGGGAAACAGGTTCTTTCACATCTCTAAGATCCATAGGATGCAATAGCGATTCTTGAAGTTCATCAATAACCTAAAATATTATTCAGTTAAAATTATAGGCAACGAAGAACATGTAATGGTAATACTAAAGATAAATAAATGAATTTAGCATAACATAATTCCTTGGATTCAGTAACATGAATCACACCCGAGGAATGAAAAAGTTCGATAACTAATCCTCAGAATTCATATTACTACTTCTTAGAGTGAAAGGAGGGTCTAGTTATCTACTGCATCGAACAACTAAGAACGATGTACATATGCCAACGCGAAATATATTGATCTAAGTTACATCCTAAAAATTAAAGAAGAGATATATAACTGAGTGGTTTAAACATTATCGAATAGGTGATTATCTTTTAAACAGTGCTCATGCACTAGAAACTGGAGAACTAGGAAAGAGTGGTAGTGTATGATCATAACATGGATTTCAGTTTCTCAAAAATAGAGAAATATATTAAAAGGCAGGAGCGAAATTGCTGTCTGTTAGTTCAGCTAAAACGTCCATAAAATAACAACAAAAGACAATAAAATATCACTATATATATAACATTCCTTGAACCTTACTAATTCCACGACTGAGTCATTAGTAAGGATTTCAAAAGCCTCTATCGATTATGTAAATTAATCAAAACATTGAGCTTCATGTCAACATTTGAACTCAAAAGCCACAGATTAAGATATAAAAGCGTAATTTACTACGACGTATAGTAATAAAACTAATCTCTTTTCCAATAAGCATATTTCATAATAATCGGCATACATTTTGGGAATGCGGATATTAATACACTTGGTTTTAGAAAAATACCGAGTAAAAGGTTCGAAATTTTAATTGTAACAAGTTACGTTTTTCAACATTTACTAATAATATTCGTCATGAAAACAAAAAACACAGAACTTACATGCCCGAATGTCCTTTGAAACCATTCTTCATGTGGAGTTTCAGGTTTAACAAGAATAGTTAAAGAGTATAGCTGTGATAATAAATCAAGAGTTGGTTGTAGTGCAGCAAGGTATTTCGCTAAATCAATTGACTCTGTAAAGTTTTTGGATCCCAGTAGATCATCCTCAACAGTTTCCACTGATGTGAAGTCCGTATCATTTGCAATAACGTCATGTGACAATAAAGAGTTGTTTTCTTTTTCAATTATTGAGTGTTTACTTAAAATGCGCTTTGATAAAGCCTTAGAGGTCTCAACAGTTTGGGATACATTTATTTTTTCAGTCCGTTTTAGTTCTGATTCTAAGAGATTTATCTATAAAGAGTTGAGTAAATATAGGAATCAACGTACAAGAAACATCAAATCTTAAGACTAAATATTAAGTAAACTCAGTTATTATATTTGTTGAAACTAGAAAAAATCTTCGATAATACCTAGTCAGCTCACAACAAACTAATGTAGTTATTTAATATCCTATATACCCTAATTTAGAATAGTAAATTCGATATAGTAAGCAGAAAGATGTTGGGATATACCTAAATGAGAGAAATCACTTAAATATTATGTATGAAGACAAAACTAAGTTGCTAGTAGAATAAAATGGCATTGTTATTGTCTGTTTATAGGCAGTTAAAGGGTAGAAAATAGTTACTTACAAGTAAATTTTAATAAAGAGAATGGAAAACTGAAAGCTATTAGATAAGATAAATGGAATGGACCACATTGACTACATAATTTATATTTTAGTGGATGCGAACAATTAACAATGTTTATATTCCAGTTATTACCTTTTTGGATAATTCATCCAGATGTTGTACCAACGAACCAAGCCATAATTCTTCCCATAAAACAGTGATACGTTGTAGTTCATAAGTGAAAATTTCCACTTCATGAACGAGATCGCTAAAACCTGTATTTCTTAAAGCAATAACTATTTTTGAAAACGAGTGAGACGGATTTAGCTTTGAGTCTGATTCTAAAATTGTTGCGTTCGTAGAAATCGTGAGATCAGGATTATCTGCTGTGTCAGCAGGATTCTCTGAAATAAAAGGCAGTATTGATGGAAATAAAATTACTTTTCAAATAACCAGAAATATTCAAAAAACTCAACATGATATTCATTGGGATATCAAACAAAATATTATAACAATACTGCATGTATCTGCAGAAAGACAACTACATTTCTGTCATGAGTGGTTTATGGTTTCAAAAGTACCGCACAAAAAATAAACAAAAAAAACTACAGGTGTTTGTGATATGTTAACATTATTTGAATTACATAGAACTGTCTGATGTCTATCATACTACCGCCAGTAGCACACAAAAGCCTTCCAGCTACGTCAACTCTGATTATCTTTATCGGTGAACCACTAGAATTAAGTAAATTACACCACGTAAGTACGAAATGAATGTTTTACTCACCAAACATCAAATCGCCAAATGGAATTCAAGTAGTCATCAAACAGTGAGATGATATCATTGAAGTCTACTTCTGGGTTAACAGATATATTCTTATGCATGCACGTTGTTTGTAACGAAATAAAGAGGAGGATGGCTATACGTAAATTTCTGTTATTTTGTGTATGTAGTCCACTTAAGGCAAGTTTGAAGCGCCATGTTCTGCAACAGTGTCTTACTACTGAGTCCTAATACCAGTCAAAAACAAACGATAAACATGATAGACTTTAGATGTTCCAACAGCTAATAGTAATGAGAGAAGGAACTAGCCTGAAAACTACGAGAAATTTAACGTATTTCCCGTGATTTACATTTTGGTGGTTCACGGCAAATGACATCACTCAGTAAACAACTGGTAGTAGGTTCAAACCCAATAAACTGAGTAGCACATAACACTTTTTTTAAAAACAGGTATGACAGAGGTTAATCAGGCGCTAGTGATTGGGACTATCAATGCTTAAGTATAAATTTATAAATGGTTATAGTTATAAAATTCAAACGAGGCAGTGATACATTTCTAATTTTTACTGAAGTTCAGATGACATGTACTTATGACAAAAAGACACGGGATGAGTGACTTAAATCGGTACTCAGACAAATGATATAAAAACGGTAACAGTTTGAGTAAGTGTTGACAATTCAGCAATATATTAAATATTTAAGTCAATTAAAATGTTGCATAAATTCATTTATTAAACAATTCAATACCTTTACGTTGAATGTCTGGAACATTTTTGTCTGGATTAACAGGATCACAAGCAGCTACAACAGCTGGAAACACAAGTTGATTTGCTAGGCGGAAAGATGGTGAATTCCATTTGAAGTTGACATTATTGTCAGTACCAACATAAATAAGTCGATTTAATAGTGCAACTAAGCAGTTGCGTATCATATCATCTGGCAAACCCAATCGAACTAAAACTTGTGGTAAACAAGCTTCCCAAATCGCTGGACCACCTAATGTTGGACTAGATTTAGATCCAATAACATGTTGTAGTTTGTCTGATTGTACATTTATAGACTGATGATTAAACTCAGATAGTACTGGACTTGCCTGATCAAGGAAACCTGAGATCATACTACGGAGTTTGCGAGATGGTGAGCACAGCAGATCTAAGAATTTCAAAGTTGCTGAAAGAGAAAAAAATAATAAAGACAATTGGAAGAGCGAAGAAAAGATAGTTTTGAAATATAGTAGTTTGGGCATAAGATAAATATATGTTGACCATTTGTCACAGCATAAAAACTGACTATAAGACAAAATTTTAGAATAGGAGCGGTATTTAAAAAACAATTTTACAATTATCAAAAGATAGATTAGAAACAATGTTGAATAAAACGGTTCAATGACGCTAAATTGATAACGTTCCACGAAGTGAATTAATTAATCATTTGGAAATATCAGGACTTGGCCATTCTTCTTGAACTAAAATGCTTTTAATTATCACAACCCCGTTATTTTGTTTTATTATCTGTAATAAATGTTATGAACAGATGTCTATTTGTACTCGATTCGATTCTATTTAACTTAAACTGATTCACCAAAGAAAGTTTATATATTTGATAAAAATGGTAGCTTTCTTAAAACTTACTTGTTGTAATGTCTAATTTAGTAACTGGTTTATAGAAGATAGAATTTCCTGATCCTCTAGATTGATCTGCTATAGTGAGAAATGTAGCATATGCTTGAGCTGCAGACATATGTAGAGTATGTTGACGTTCAGTAATCGAGACTAATAATCGATGCAAAAGTTGTACTAAATCGTTTGATAGACTTGGATTTCTCAAAGAAGGGATAATATTCCGTAAGTGCGAAAAAAATTTCTGCTGCATCTATAAACGGAATTGAACAGTAACATTTGATTAAAAAAAGAAACACTTTTAAATATGAGAGCAGTTACAGTAACCCGACCATTGCTGCTACGTTGAAGTGGTGGTCGGGCTTGCGAATCATGATAAACCAATCAAACTACACTAGCCGGAAAAATCGTTCCTCAAAATCCTACCATACCAGACAGGTCCATCGAAGAGCGGTAAGACTAAAACCAGAAAACTCAAGGTCTGAGGGCGAAGTCGTACTGCCGACTGTACAGAGGTGTAATGACAGTAAGATGTTTCCTTCAAACAACCACGATGATAGAGATACTGCCTTCCCGCAAAGGAAGGGTGGGGTTAGAAAAGACCGACCCTAAAGACACACACCTCGCCTTATTCCACGAACTTCGGTCTTCGATGGTAAGGTTTCAACAAACACGGAGCTAACACAAAAACCACTCACAGAAAGGTCGTGTGTGACCGGCCTCAAGCAGTTGTCCCTTGGGAACTGCGGTCAAGATTTAAGGTCACTAAGACCAAATCTAACCCAATTTCCTCTTCAGGTACCTCTAGGAGAACCCTTACAATGTGTCGGCAGCCGGGAATTGATAACTGCCCTCATACCCTTATATATATATAACGAAATAAAATTCATCGAAAATCTTACATGGAAATGTGCATAATTCGGTTAGTAAAACATATCGATTAGATATGAAATTGCTTCACCACAAGTTACTGAGTTCTAATATGCAGCTTTCCATCATTCATTTAACGTAGTGTATAAGGAAAAACAAGTGGTAACGATAGTGTTTGAATTTATTATGAAGAATAAGATGACGACTACTGTTTAATGCTTTATGGAAAAATAATTCATAGTACATTCTTACATTGAACTACTATTGCAATTTGGTTTAAAGCTGGATCATTAACAAACAGTAAAGGATTAAATATAAATATTTCATTAGTGATCGGACATATTTATAACCAATAAAAGAATAAACAGATAATTTAATTAAGTAGAAATGTATCTGTACAGTTTCGTAGAGACTGTAGAATTTTCATAATTAAAATCACCAACTGATCTTAGCTAGACCATCATTGAAATCCTGGAAGCATTGGATGGATATTTCATTCTAGTATAGGGCTTAGTAGTGTGCAACCACGTCACCACGAGGAATATAACCGAGGACCTTCAGTTTCTTACGTGAACGCCTAAGCCCTAAACTACTGAGCTGCAAAGTGATTGAAGTTAGAGATATAAATCATTGGATACTGGACTAATGGTCTAGAAGCATGGCGTTCGTGTGAGACTAAAAATCTTGGATTTGATACCTGATGGCGAGTTCGTGGATGTGCAACGCTGAGGGTCCCAACGCCAAAACGAAACAATTGTTCAAAGCCTCCTAGTTTCCAATCGTGTTCTAGCTAAGATCGATTTCTGATTTAAACAAAGGAATGGACTCACCAAACTTTTAATGCAGTGAAGTTTTAAGCAATACAATTTATTTACTTATATATACAAAGAAAGCAAAATATTTTGACTACAAATTTATGAACTCTACTGACTTGAGAATCCATCTGATCGTCAGGACACTGAGAAGAGAACTGATGGAGATGAACTGGTAAGTCAGAATGATGTTTGAATAGCTCTGAGTCATCTTCATCACAACGATCAGTTGCCAAAAAGGTTGTCAGAGCACTGATTAGAGTAGTTATAAGCAAATCAACGTCTTTACTATCATCAGTTGAGTTTTCTAAAGAAGAAAACAGTTTTTCAACCAATATAGTTAGTGATGTATACTCTTGTGGTTGTACTAATTTTAAAAGAACAGGAACACTTGAATGGTTAGAGGATTTCTCATTTAGGACCGTAATAAAATTTCTTGCTGCTGATTGGAATTCATGGATCTACAAATGGAAATGGAATCAAAAACTTAAGAACAAAACAAAAAAGATTAGAATAACTTACCAATATAGAAACTCAAGAAAAAGTGCTAATATTCTTAAAACAAATAAGCTGATTTAGCTCCACAAAACTGCACAACTCAATAAGAGATTATAACGCATTTGAAATGGATATAGCTTGAAGAACGAATGTTTCCGAAAAATTTTATGGATTGATAATCATTGTTTGCCTCAACATTAAGCCTTGAACGGATATGTGCTAGTACAAGTTGTTATGCAACATCGACAGGATGATTTGAAATCAACGGTATGAATAACAAATAAGTCGAAATAATATAGTAGCAATGATTATGACATCTGACCTTTTTAAGCTAAATATGTTCCATTACTCGTATCACGGTAGCAATTAACCAATTAATTGTCAACAGCATTTAGTGCCTCGTATAGTTAATGCTGAGGGGACCATCATCCTATCACTAATTACACATTGAAAAGCCACCCTTATAATTTACACATATTATCCAACCGGCTCCTATACAAATTAGGATATGCTGAGGTTAGAATTACGTGAAAGAAGCGAAACGATAGGTAATTCATGGTAGAGGGGATAGAAAAGGAATGATAATAGTGGTAGGTTAGTATTTATTGGCACAGCTCGATGTCGATCATGAATGAAACTAACGGCGATCTTGTATACTCAGAGGAGTATAATTAATATGTTTTTTGTCTTATTGTTTGAACTGTATACTTAAGTATACTTATTGTAGCTGTCACATGATTTTATATTTGTTTTTCTTCTGAGATATTATGTTCTATATTGCTTATTTTTTAGTGCTCCATGGTACCGTTCGTGTGTCCTCATCAACAAATAAACAATCATCTTTTAGCCTTACTTACTTGAGCAAAAAACAAATATTCAAATTTTATAAAACAGTGTCAACTTTGATTCACACTTCACTATTCCATTCCGTAAGATGAGACAAACGGTATACTAGTTTTCTAAACACCAGTATCCTTACACCAGATATTTTTTTCTGTTCTATCAGTAGTTGGGTCAAATTCCATGATATACCATTTCTGAAAATAGAATATTTATGCAAACAACAGATCTTTCGAAGTTTTCAACCAACATTTGGAGAATGTTAAAATCCCAAATTTTAAAAATGCATCATGCCATTTACCTCTTTATGTCCACGCAAATAGCACCAGTTGGCCAATTTCAGCCAAACAGATGCAGATGAACCATTTGAAGATAAATGTGTGGCCATCATTAGTAAACGATTAGTCCATGAAGTTGAAGAACCGGGGAATGAATTGGTAGATTGAAGGGGTTCAGTAATATCTGGTATACCGTTACACCACGATACATCAGACAAGCAACTGAACAATTCAAGGTCTGACGCAATACGTAAAAATTTCTGAGACTAAAATTTGAATAAAACGATATATAATTTAGGATTCAGATCGCAGGATTAGAATTAGAGCGAGACAGTGATAAAAATTATACATAAGGAAAACAAGAACAGTAATTGAAATGGTAACTACCTAGAATGATTTGGAGTGGATAGTATGTACCACCAGCTTATCATTTGCAGACAACAGATTGGTATGATTAAACAATAACCATAGTTCAGTAGCCTGAAACGAATGTCCAATGAAATTTTGACTCGTTTTTATAGAGACGATATTTTAATTTATATATATATATATATATATATATATATATATATATATATATATATATATATATATATATATATTGCTGGCGAACATTGAATTTGTGGATACCTATTATATCTCTCTCAAACTTATTTTTAGCTTTACACTACGATCAGTATTTCTATTATTTTAGTGCTACCGTAGTTGATTTTTTTAGTGTCCTAATGTGAAGAGGACATGAATTGAAATATCCAATAGAGAACAAATTTATCAGCAATACAAAAGTGTAAGCCCTTTCCATATGGAACTAAAAATTGAATGTAAAAAGTGACAAATGAAATGGTCGGGACAAGACGGCATTACGGCAGACGTCTTAACTGTATGTTTCCAAGATCATGTCAATTATTTTGCTTCATTTGTTCAAAATCAAACAAGTTGCTACAATTCAAATCAACGTAGAATAAAGGGGCATTAACAAGTTGAGAAGCATGAAGGAAATATCTAATTCCGTGGGAAGCTACACAATAGAAACAGTCTAAAAGGAACAAGTATACCGAACGAATCCAATTCTTGTATTGTGATCAATTTTAAGCCATAACATCTAACATCTCCAAATAAAGATTACAATTATGGGGTGGATTCAGACTAGGGAGCCCGCATCTCTATATCACTTATATATATATATATATATATATATATATATATATATATATATATATATATATATATATATATATATATATATATATATATATATATATATATATATCAACAGGATTAGATTTAATGGCAAACGACTTTTTGAAATGATGCCATATTTCAGTCTGGCTACTTCTATCTTTCTTCCAACCCACTTTTAGTCAGTTTGGAGGTTTAGAGCCTAATGGTGCAATTCACCATTTTCGCTTAGTGCTGTACGATTAAACTCATTATCACTTCCTTTGTGATCTCACTACAATTGGGAAACGATTAAAATACATCTATAATCAAATACTAGAAAACAACAGATAACCCTTATTTTTCAATGATGTGAAGTAGTACAGAAAATAGTTCTGCTCTCAATATTTGTCTTTTGGTAGCCAGACGGACATCTCACCCAAATTACAGAATGAGTAAGTTGCATCAGTACCGAGACTTCATTAGGTAAAAGCTAATCAGAACTCATAAAGCCCACAATATAAATGTAGAGACCAACATGGTTAGCTACCTCATTCTGTATTGTTGGTCAGTTTTACGGCTACCATTTGAGGGAGAGAAACGTACTCCAAACTTTTTTCTATTATCATGATGTTGAGAAAAGCCTTTTGTCCACGTCATCATTAAGAGAAAGGAATTGTGTCAGTTGTGTTTGGGTGAATTAACCAGCAAATTACTGCTCTGGTAGCAAGGATCAATGAAATACGGCGTTAAACCTAATGTTAGTCTACTAACGGGACAAAAATTCAAATTCTACTTTAGGATAGTGTGGCCTTGTCGTGAGTTTTTTCATAATATCCTACAAACTAATATACGAAAAATGATTAGTTGTAAAAGCAGACGAATACAAAAAACAATCAATAATCAATTTATTGTATAAAATACCCTTTCTCCTGGTTGGTCTGAGCTTATAAAACTAAGATATATTTTTTCCGCCATTGAAATGTCGTTAGTATTTGTAGGCGATTCTAGCCAATCAAAAAGGCTTAGAGCCATTTCAGCTTCCAAATTACATTTAGATGCAGTTTCAATTGTATCACAAGTGTATTTTTTCATTAATCCCAATTTCAGACCAGAAGTTAACACTGCTATTGCTTTTGTCTTATTAATTAATTCTTGTTCGTCGTTCCCACTCCCAAACAACCACAGAATTCTGGCCATACAGTTATAGAACTTTAAAGTATCCAATTGAGATAATTTGGATAGTATATCATCTGAGGAAGATAAAGCGACGTTGCAAAGCTTATCGAAATATGTTGCTTCTTTATCCACTGAAGTATCAAGAAGTGTGAGACATTTCGCTGTTTTAACAAGCAAACGCCGAGCAAGATATGGACAATTATTTAAACATGCCCATTGGCAAGCTGAAAGTTCAGCGACAGAATGGGCTTTCTTATTGGAAGAAATGAGGTGTACCCAAGTAGAGTAGTTTATGGGACTTGATGATCCATACATAGTACATGTTCGTTCACTAAGTATAAGTTGCGCTTTAGTCATGTAATCTTGCAAACCATCATCCATAGCATAATTGGGTTGAGAGTAAAAATCTGCAAACATATTTAAGGGTAGAAGGAAGTTTGCACTTGCTGACTTCTGTCTTATAATCGTCGTTAGCTCCGAAAAACATTTTACCAACAACTTGTCCTCTGTATTGCCATAACTATCATGTTTTACGCAAGCAGCATTTACCAGTAGACTGTCTAGTTGCTTTTGAATGGAGCTCTGGGACCATAGTTCAGAAGAACTTGGAATGAGATTATCTTCAACTACATTTTCAGAAACCCATCTATAAGGAAGCAAATAAGGAGTAGAGGAAGCAGAGTTTGTATAAATACGAAATAGTAAAAACTTAGAATAATATGACTAGAATGACTGAAAAAAGTAACATCAGAAGTTCATTGAGTACGTATATCAAAGAGAAAGCTGATCTAAAATAAATTAGTGATAAATTTATAACTCTGGGAGTAAAGACAACTTTAATGGGACGAATGGTATTGGTTTCGTCAAATAATCATAAATTAGATGGAGGAATATTTCAAGACTAACTTCTAGCTTAAGGCTAAATATTATTATTATTGTTAGCAATAGTAAAAACTCAAGGGGGAAAGTAATTAAATGGGCAAACTTACTCAGATAATTTACTCAAGCAGTCGAGGCGTGCTGAATTAAGTTGAAATGTTGAATTTTCCTTTAAAGATTTCATTTTGACACACGATGTTATACGGTTCCGGAGTTTATGCCCACAAGTATAGTTACCTTCAGAAAGGTACATTTGAAAAAGGACATTTACGATATACGCTGTAGATGTTGGAATGGAGCATTTATCAGTTTCATTGGTAATTACGTTTTCCGGGTTTAAAGCACTGCTTTTTGGCAAGTTCGAATCAACAAAACTGGTTAATTGTAGAATACCTTGATCCCAACGGCCACGAGCTAGAGAAGATATACCATGAAGCCATGAAAGTGGATTTTTTTCTGCCGTGAAAAGATCATCCGTCCACCTAAAAATATAAATTTACCATAATTACCATACTTGTAAACTACATGGAAATAGAATCTTTAATTTTAGTTACCTACTATAAACACAAATCGAGTACAAAAATAAAAATACCTCTTACGAAGGAATGTCTGAAAGCGCTATCACTGGTTTTGAGTGCTTGATCTTGTCGCTGAAACACAGACAGCGTATTATGAAAACACTGAACAAATGATACTGCTGTTAGGTGAAAAGTCTATATTAATTTATTTAGCACATAAACATTGATACAAGGGGCACCAAATATATATGCGCCACACAATAACAATGAAGTCAGTAGCAGTTATCATTGATTTGTGTGAGGATTGTGATGCTGCCCGGGTGCCCAAACCGAAACATGATAGTAAAGACGTAAAATTAACTTATTGTCAAATGATGGTCAAAGTAAGAGCTCTTAGAATGATGATAATAATAATAATAGTGAAAGAAACACATAAGATCAGTGCACTAAGTCACTGAAATTTTGTATAAGTAAGATAAACGTGAGAAAAACTATCAAAATCATCCACCTGAGCTACAAATTTTCTACACCATCTCAATTTGTGATTAAAACCTCAGATGACACAAAACGTACAGACGCAAATCAGTCAGCTTACATTTTTTTCTTAAATCTCCAGTTTTAAATATAAAATTGGTTGCTTTGATGCTTCCCATTTTCTTCAGTTCCCTATTATTGTTTGTACGAATAATTCTAAAATTTTGTTCTTGCACCTATTGATTTCTTCTTACGATACTAGTTTTAAATCCAGTAACGTAGACTGATACACGACTATGCAAGGTCCTATGTTATTTATGCCTATTTGACTTAACCAAGGATCTACAGAAACCCAGTTATCTTTCCTTAAAAGTAATGTAGCATGAGTAGTATTATTTGTAACTTAAAGGACATAACAGTTTATTGAAACGAGAAAGGGACTGAATTTTGCGTTACTTACTGTGCTAATGCTTTCAATTCTTCCCATGCGCCTAAATGATGAAGTGCATTGGATAGAAAAATAAATAAATCTGTAGGGTCACCATATTGTTTTAAGGTGCTGATCCAAATTTCTTGAACACTTGGGTTGTTGTAATTTGAAATAATTTTGAGTAAGTTGTATGCATGATAAATAGTTGTCGATAAAACTTCATTAGCTGGTCCCATGCCACCACAGGACACTAACGGCAAGTCACTTGAGATACGAACAAGAAGAGTTCTAATACGATTAAACCACTGTGTACAAGTGTTTTCATTTGCAGTGAAAAATATAGAAGCAGATGTCGATGGATGGGAAAGTGCAATCGCAAAACCATTAGTTGCATTGAAAATAACACGTTCAAGGTAATTTAGAAAATTCAAAAGTAAGTGAATCTGGTTTAAATGTCGGTTCTTCTTTTGGTGAGAGAGAGCTTCTGAAGATGCCATATGGAATGAAATGATTGAGGATTGGTTGTTGTTAGAAGAATCGTTGGAATAAATTGGCTGGATAATCGCTCTTAAAGTTCCCTCAAGAGAGAAGAAAGTTTTCAGTGGGTTAGCCCAAGGGGCTACTTTTAACTTGTAATCAACCATTGCCCATGCAGTGTGCCATAGAACAGGTTGAATGAAACTAGTGCATTGTAGCAACGAAAAATCATACTTTTTATCCGATGGAAGTGGAGAAACTAAGTATGATAAACGTCGTATCCAGTCAATAGGACTTTTTAAAATCTTTAGTCGACTGCTTTCTACTTTTTGCGTGTATGGAGCTCCCCGTGTCAAAATGCCCAAAATACCCGCAACAGCTGGCAGACTAGGGAAAGCAGTGGTCATGGTTATTAGATTGTTATGACTACCATCGGAATCGTTTATATTAGATACTGGTAATAATGCTGTGGCTGACTGGTCCGGTCGGCGAGTGGTGAACCAAAGCAATTCCGAATACAAGCAAGATGCTGGAAATTCCACTTTAGAGAAAGAAAATGATCCAACTAACAGTAAGAGATCATTACCAGCCCTTTGAACTTGTGAGCATGGGTAAGACAATGATATCTGAGATAAATGCAAAAGATGAGAGGCAAGAATTGCATTCCCCTTTTCAATATGAAGAAGTGTATGTTTCATGAGAACATTCACAACGAAGGTGAAAACATTATTGTGAGTTGAGTCCAGAACTATTTGTGTGATTAACATGCATTTTGAAAGAGTTATGAGATTAAAAATTAAAGACAGTTGATCATCAGAATTCAGAACACCTTCGGATAAAAACAAATCGGTCAGGTTTAAAAGAACACAACATTCGATACTTGAAATACTCTTCACAGAAAGAAAACCAGAAATCATATCGCGAATATAGACTGGTTGAGACCTTTTAATAAGTGAGGAATTGTTCATGAACGACAAGAGGACTATTCTAAGACGAGGTGAAAAATAATGCCAGTTCTCAAAACAATTTGGTTGAATGATTTCATATACACGGTAAAGCAACTTATTTTTAAGTTCACAAGACATACTTTTCATAACTTCAGTAAGCAAAGATAAACTAAATAATCCTAGGATTTCAGCTTTATGACTACAAGATGAATCTGACTGTTTCTGTGAACCTATAGCCAGCTGAAGATCAGATAATGCTAACTCACATACAGCACTTTGGAGATTCAATGTTGATGACATATAGCACAACATACGAAAAATTTCTTGACTTGGTGAACTTCCTTTTTCAACATTAGATTTGGAACAGAATTTAAAATGGTGCAATTTAGAGTGTGAGTCAAAATAAATTAGTAACGATGAGGGGTTCACAGAGGTAAAGGTAGATGAGCATTTTATTTTGATGATAGTGAAGACCAATTCGAGTAGAGAATATAAGGAGCAATCGGTGTTGGGTAAACTCCCAGGATCCACGCTGGATATCACACAATTGTCTACTGATATTATATCAACATTAGAGCAATCAGAAAACTGTATTAAACAATTCAAAAGCTTAAAAACTGAAGACTGAATACCATCCAAGACAATGAGTGGTACACGAGGTGAAGATATATTCCCATGACCTGAATGCCAGGAACTACTCTGTTTTTGTGATATTAATGAATTGTAATAAGCACTTGTTGACTGAATGATGTGAAGTAAACGTTCAATCCACTGTGAAACATTTCCGCATATAACGTCATTGAAACAAAGGTGAGTAGAATCGAATGCATGTTTACAGATGCCTCCAAATATACTACATAGAACGTTGAGGAAAAGCTGGACTGACACAAAGTGAGAGTTTGGGTCAGAAGCTAGTTTCCCGCTTCCTGATAATGGAGTACCCCGTTTGCAACTCATGATAGAGCATTCCGAGATAGCAGTATTAAGTGAGTTTTCGCTATCCTCCAACAGATGAGAGATCATTTCCCGAATGTTTTCGTTAATAATCAGGGGCAATGACGTTTGTTTGTATTCATCTATTTTTTCTTCCGTAGATATGAGAAACCAGTGTGAAAGACCGAAGTACAGTTCTTCATAGATAATATTAATGTTTACATCTTTTGAATTTCCGGACGAATCTACACTCCAACCTACGAGGATATCTGCAAGATCAGAAAAGCGGGCAGAAAAGGAACTTGAACTGGATTTTGTATAAACACTGATCAGACAACGAGCGGTAAGACCAACAAGTTGAGCAAAACGAGGTACATTCAGTGGTTGATCCAGAGACTCTCCTAAGCGTATAAGATTCGAAATTACACTCGAACTAAAAGGTATCAAATCAATCCAGGAGCATAAATTACTGATATTATACCTTTTTCTATCACCCACTGGTGCGTACAAATCCGATAAGATGCGTGATAAATGGGCAAGAATCCCTGATCTATACTGTGGATTACTTTTGAGAACTAGTTTTCTGAATAACTTTAGTATATAAGAAATAACGTGCCCAGATGGTGTGTTAGATTTGGGCGTGAAATCATCACCAGCAACAGAACCATTAACATCGATTTGTTTGTTTACCCCCAAGCTCGCCATATGAACAGCTAGTCTACTTAGTTCAACAGTTAATTCCAAAGGACAATGGGTTTCACATAGACATGCCTCAATGAGACGTAAGTAAGGCTCATTAAAAGCATTATTAGATGTTTTGTTTGAAAGGTCGTTGTGTGTATCGTTGACAGAAGAGACAGAAAGCAAGTTGAACAAATGAGAAACAGCGAGCAAACGGCTTTCTAATGGTAAATCTGCTCGGGAAGCACGTTGAATTAGTTGAAGGAACTGATTCGCTGATTGCAATGACATACATGGTAGAAGTGGTAAGCGTCTGATAAGTTCTCTCTTTCGCCTAGCGAGTTCCAAGTCGTAACTTGTTGACTGACACTGAAGCTGGTTCATGATTATCTGACTATCAAAAATTGCCACTGAAAGATCTTTAAGATCACTATCCAGGCATGATGTAGAAATAACAGGTAACATAGATGAGTTACTTCGTGCATTCTGATTTTGTAGCTGCAAGTTCTTGTCACGAAAGGAATCGGTGGAATCATGTGATCCTGGTGCCTTATTGTCGGATACTAGCATCCCAGTATATACGTAGTGGTAGAAAAGACCCTGAAAGAAATAGTGGATTTAGTATTATGTATATACACATATTTCATCACGAAAAATTTGTAAAATTCAATTATGAAAAACACTGCTTACTTCATTACTTTTACTTGTTTTTGCTCCCAAGTGTACAAGTTTGCGTACAGTATCCCGCATATGGGATTGTACAGCCAACGAAAGGGGTGTTTCATTATTCTGAAAAAATATGAGATAATAATCACATACCATTGTAACAGGATCAACAACAGCTCCGCTAGAACAGAGCATATCCACAGTGGCGCAGTGGCCACGTTTAGCAGCAAAGTGAATTGGGCGCCACTTAAGCTAAAAACGATCATGAATAATGTACAAACGTATAACAAACATTCGTTTCCCAGTTAGGATTTGCTTTGTTTTTTAAAAGCCATCTAACAATATCTTTATGACCGTAATGGGCACCAACAATAAGCCCAGTTACATTTTCATGCTACCACATAGATTATAATAAATGCAAAATACCTTTATATTATTTAGAATGTAATTATCCGTAATATCAATATCATTTATATCCTTCCACAGTTTTTGAACCAGAGATAAATCGCCCTTTTCTATTGCTAAAAACCAATTTTGAGTTGTAGTTCCACATTTTTCCATAACATCTACAAAGAAAGATAAATAATTTAATCATAAGTCAACTGTTATTGCTTTACTTTGGAAGTAGCGAACATCAGAGTGAGAGCAAAGATTATTATGACGTTAATACTATTTCATTCCCTGACATGTTCAGTCCCAGGTCAACGCTTGTAGCTGTGAAGGGAGGTGAGATAATTTAGGATGTCTATCACTTCACTTATTTTGGAAACCCCATCAACCTTGAAATCGGTGTCTGGTAAAATCGCGGCACGGATTCGGAAAGCTCATTTGATTTTCGCCAACTTGTGTAACTTTTGGTCTATGTGATATGTCCGTTTTCCAACCAAAGAACGACTACACCATGGAGCAATTCACTCTATCCTACTATATGGGTATGGTCACTAACAACAGATGATATCCGTGGGTCACCAGTATTCAATCAAAGGTGTCTTTGAAGCACTACTTATGTATGTTGGGACCACCGAGTGAGCAATACTGAAGTTAGACACACGGTAGTACGTAAAGATGAGAGATCGACTGATGGGGTGATAATTTTTCATTGACTGATGTGGTTACATGTTTCAGGTATGCCTAAAAGTTGCATGCTTCGACGAACGATGTTGTCTGGTGCAAGAGTAGACTGAAAAACCAAGACGCGGCACCAATTAATAAAGTTACTGACAACTGGACTGAGCTAAGTAGGTAGGTGTAGATTATCTGTTTGGAGTCTGAGTGATGATTATAACCAGAGTTTGGGGACCTTGGGTGACGACACATTTTATTTTATTTATTTGAACATATAAACATTGATACAAGGGAGCACGAAATACATATGCGCCACACAATACCAATGAGGTTGTGATGAGATAATGTGAAGTGCATATGATAAAAAAGGTTACGAACAGAAATTAGTGCATGAGTGAAATAATAATGATGGGAGAGGCAGTTCAGTCAGCAAAACTACAACCAGGAAAAATTCTTTGAGTTAATTTAATTATCACAGATTTAAATCATGAGTCAGTTTAAGCTAGACCACCATTGAAAACCTGGAAGCACTGGACGGCCGTTTCGTCCTAGTATGGGACTCCTCAGCAGTGCGCATCCACGATACCGCACCACACGGGGCTCGAACCCAGGACCTACTGGCTTCGCGCGCGAGCACTTAACCATTAGACCACTGAGCCGGCATCCAACGGTGTTAATGTCTAACTTCAACCAATCCACGAAGTCGCGCCACCGTACACCATTGTCTTCAGTGAGCTGATATCTCACAACAGACCTGGTTGAACTCCACTGGTAACGGCTTCCCACTAGAACTCCAGGAGTATCTCTTGTGGTGCGGGATCGTGGATGCGCACTGCTGAGGAGTCCCATACTAGGACGAAACGGCCGTCCAGTGCTTCCAGGTTTTCAATGGTGGTCTAGCTTCAACTGACTCATGATTTAAATCTGTGAAAATTTCTAAAATCTCCACAAAACCCCTTCTGTTAATTTAATTAATTTATTTAAACATTGGTACAAAAAGACACCAAATACACATGCGCCACACAAATCATTCGATTTGTGTGAGGGCTGGAATACTTCCCAGGTGCCCAAACTGAAACAGGTGGTTTTCCTGGGAAGTCACACTCCGAAACTTTGACCTACAGGCCTGATCCACAAAGCAGTGGAGCAACTTTAGGAGACGGAGTCCCATGGTAGTCAGTGAGCAACAATAGGTTTATACGCCATTTGTTTCCTTAGGATCCTGGAACCCGTATGCACTGTTGGTTCACAATCAGGGTTTTCCAACTCCCCTAGGTGGATTCTCTGTATTCACCGATTCGGTTAAAACACCGGACATTCGCTTTTCCTAAACAAAATTTCACACCACCTTAATCTACCGATTCACGCATTATTTATTTATTTATCTTAACACAGATATTAGTACAAGGAGTCACCAAATACATATGCGCCACACAAATCTCATTTGATATGTGTGAGGGCTGTGATACTGCCCGGGTGCCCAAGCCGATTCACGTCTATGGAGGTAAGGCTTTTGGCGTACAGAGTTAACTCGTTTGAAACTACTCGAAAAAAACCCGCGTCAAAAATTTATTCCTTGATGTCTGGGTCGTTTAGACCTCTATTAATCTACTTTACAAGTCCCACAAAAAGAACTATTTTTCATTGTGGGCAACCAGGAAGTGATAACCGCCCTTACATCTCTAGTAGCACTCAAGACTACTGTATTCATAATCAACCTCCCTCTCCGATCTCTATTATTCCTGCTACAGCGACCGTCAACTATAAAGCTCCTCTTTTGGCTTCCTCCCCAAGTATCACCGTAGCCAACGATTCTAGTGCACAAAACACTATCCCAGGTCTACTGAAACCTCGCTCCACACTACACATTGGAGCTTTCAACGTACGCACCGTGTCAAATCGGTCACCAGGCCTTCTGACTAAAACCCTAGAATCTCGTACCATTGATGTATGCTGTGTCTCTGAAACACGCATACAGGATCCCAATGAGGCTATTCACTTGACCTCACCTCGGCGAAACGGAGAGCCGACGAGATACATCCTCCGTGTATCTGGCGACCCGATGGCTAGTTCTGGTGGACTAGCAGGTGTGGGCATAGCACTACGTACGAGAGTAGAACAAGCACTATTGGAGTGGATCCTCGTTAACAGTCGTCTATGTGCTGTTCAGCTAAACGGATCCGTAAGAACTCGGAAAGATAGGGACACACGTCGTTGCCTTTTCGTCGTTTCTGCCTACGCTCCCACTGACTGCATCCCGGATGAAGTGAAAGATGAATTTTACAGAAGGCTTTCTGAACTTCTTCAGAAAGCTAAACGTTCAGACATAGTACTTGTAGCAGGTGACTTTAATGTTCAAATAGGTAGCTTAAACCAAACAAAAAGGTATTTAGGTGGGTATTGTAGTATTCCGGCACAGCGAACAGATAATGGTGATGGTCTGCTGCAACTGTGCTCAGACAATCGTTTATTTTAGCAGACGAGGCTCTTATCTGCTCCCAGCCCAGACGTTTAGAACGAACACTTTAAGGAGCAGTTTAGCTGGCCTTCAGCTAGTCTACAACTACCCACTATTCCCAGACAGCCTGAATGGAGCACTGAATTAGGTCCCCCGACTCTGGATGAAGTTCATAAGGCTATAGCCACTCTGAAACGAGGTCGGACGTCTGATCCAGACGGATTGGCTCCAGAGGATTTTGAGTATGGTGGTCCAATTTTAGCGATTAGGTTGACTAATATTTTAGCTAAAATCTGGGAGTTGGACGTAATCCCATCTGACTGGTTGCAATCGCTTATTGTCCCGATATATAAAGAGATCAAAATCGTCCTGTAACGACCATAGAGGGATTAGTCTAATATAGCATCTTAAATACCAGCCTCAATAATTATCGGGCGCCTAACTATAACTCGTGAACTGCAAACACGTGAAAAGCAGGCTGTCTTCAAGCCTGGTCGTGGCTGCATTGACCATATATTCACCATTCATCAGGTTCTAGAATACAGGCATACTTATCGGCGTCCGACAATCGTGGTCTTTCTTGACTAAAAAAAGCATTTGACTCTGTAGACCGCAAGATTCTGTGGCAGTGTCTGTCATTAAAAGGTTTACCTCAGAAGTTCATGAACCTTGTGAGGGATCTATACTCGAACACTACAAATCGAGTCACAGCATATGGAGAACTGTCACCTGCATTTGTAATCTCAAGTGGTTTCTGTCAAAACTGACCACTTTCTTCATCTTTGTTTAACTTCATCATAGACGTAGTGATGGAAGTAACGCTATCATCGACTGAATTTTCGGGCATCGGTCTACTTCCAGGAGGTCCACTTATCGACTCAGAATACGCAGATGACATAGTCCTGTTTGGTGAAGACGCTGATAAAATGCAGAGTCTTCTGGTAGCACTGAGCAACAATGCCAGGATTTCTGGGATGCGTTTATCCCCCTCTTAATGCAAGTTGTTGCTTCAGGACTGGTCTGCGTCAACACCTGAACTAAGGATAGGTAGTGAAGTAGTCGAAAGCGCTGACATTTTCACTTATCTTGGAAGTTTGATTAGCCCTAATGGGTTGGTGTCTGACAAAATCTCAGCACGAATTCGAAAAGCTCGTCCGGCTTTTGCCAACTTATGCCACCCATGGCGAGGGCGAGATATCCGTCTATCAATTGAGGGACGAGTACACTGCGCGGCAGTTTGTTCTGTCCTACTTTACGGCTGCGAAACGAGGCCATTAAGAGTAGAAGATACTCGTAAGCTACTAATATTTGACCACAGATGTCTTAGAAATGTTGCTCGCATCTGCTGGGATCACCGGGTAAATAATAGTGAGGTTAGACGCAGGGTATTAAGGAATTATGACGAATCAGTTGATGAGGTTGTGAATCTTTATCGACTGAGATGGTCGGGCCACGTGCTGCGTATGCCTAAACACCGATTACCACGACGCGCAATGCTAACCGGTATTGGGGATGGTTGGAAGAAAGTTAGGGGCGGCCAAACCAAAACGTGGTATCAGTGCTTGAAGTCCCTAACTTCTAGTCTGGGCCATGTTGGTAGATGCAGACTATTTGGTTGGGGTCCGCGTGACTATCGTAACCAATGATTGGAGAATCTGGTTGATATGGCTCAGAATCGATCACAATGGCGTCAGTGTATACACTCTGTCTTCCTTCGATCTGCGAGATTAAAATTGTTTTATTATCTTTCTACGGACTAATTCTATTTTTCCCTACTATGTACTTATACACAATCTTCTTTTACATATTACTACCACTGATGTGACTGCTTCTAGAAATTCAGTGTTCATCATGTTGTGCTAATGAGGTGTGGCAACTTGGACCGATGCACATATGGGCTTGGCCATACAGTTTAACTGACTGACTGAAGAGCTGATTGTTTGAGGTTACTATCAAGAAGACTTGTAACGAAAACAAAATGTAAAAACCGAAAGTGAAGAAACGTTAAGTGAGGAATAGGACTTCATCCAAAGTATGGGGGACAAATGTATCGAAGCTACTCATTAGATGATATACAAGCTTTTAAGGATTGATATGTTATGATAACAGTATAATTAGTGGACGAATCAGTGTGGTTTTAGATATCAAGTCTTTGACTCTGGTGCGGGATTCGATAATCCGTTTGGCTAAATAGCATTCTGGTATTACCGCTTGTGAGTTCATGATAATAACGCTAACTCTGATTCCTAAACCTTAATTATGATTCTAACTTGTAATTCTAATTCCTCACGCTAAGTTATAACCCTCTTTTGACCGTAGTAAGTAGGTGAATTCTCCCAAGGTCACTCTGGTGCCACCACATAATGGTCTCACCCATTAACACGGTACTTGTTTATACCTTAACTATAACCCGTCAAATTCTCATAACCTCTACTATCTATTGCGTTCTACTGCTAGTTTTACTTCTCCTCTTCTATTTAGTGCATACCACAAATCATCAGGCGTCTGTAAAAGCGTTTCAACATTCGGAATTTGGGGAAGAGTGGTTGTGGTAGACCTTGTTTATGTACAATATTGGTGTTTTGTAAGGCTCAAGCTCCTAAAGAATGCAACTGATCGTTTGGGACCACACCATTACTGACAACAGAGCAAAATAGTTACAATGCTGCATATTTTTTAAACTATTTGATCAATTGCAGTCGTCTCAACATTCAAACGTTTGTAATCTGTGAATCCTATTTATATTTAATGGTTTGAATGCTTGTGGACAGAATAGAAGAAGCTTTCGCTTAATGGGCTTCCGTGTCTAGTAACAGTGGATCACCAATACCTCCAGGCAAGAACTTTGTGATATTAACGATAATAGAGGAAACAGAAACTGGTAAATTATAGTAAGATATTATCCTTAGTCCTTAACAATAGGCCAAGTCACCTCTTAAGGGACTCCTGGGAAGTCGCCTGGACTAACACAGTCGGCAGCGAATTCCAGCATTTGACAACTCTTAACGAGTAGAAGTTATGTCTACAGTCGGTTCTGCTGTATTGTCTCTAGTTTCTGGGAGTTACCCCTTAGGTAAACCGCGTAGACAACATAACGATGGCGTGATTGGCAAAAATACCAAATATAATATGCCACTCGTCCCGGACAGAAACCACACAAAAGATGAGAAACCAACCTGACTGAGTCTTAGCACGGAGAGGGAAGTTTAAAATCCCCGCCTAATAGGATATGTCAAAGTTATGCAAACGTGTTTGTATTGTGGTGCAGAAAGAAGCAGTAATTTGATATCCCATTAAATTTTGAAATTTTTCACGGAATCCTATTCTAATTATGATGAAATATGATCTAACATTCAATATCGCGTCATGTAAGGTGCCACGTTTTCAAGCTTCAGTCTTTACACTGAACTGTTTTTCTTTCACTTGGTATTGTTTGGCTTGTATCTTCTCATTGAGGTTTAAAACTGCATTTGATCAGTCTGTTATTAGCATATGTACATACTGTGCGTATGCCTCGATATTGCCTCAATTCACAAGCTTTTATAAACAAAGATGGATAGTGACCGGTAGTGAAATCCAGGACGCGCGTTTCGTTCTATTCGGGACTCGTCAGCTGGATGTACTTGCATCTCAAAGTTGATGTTCACTCTGGGACTCGAACCCAGTACCATTCACCTCAAACGCCATCGCGTTATCCACTCAGCTACTGAGTCCTGATAGTCACTTGCTTGTGCAACGGGGTGAATTTAAATTCACTTGGTATTGTTTTGCTTGTGTCTTCCCACTGATTGGATTCCACTGCTAGTCACTATCCATCTTTGCTTGTGAAGTAAGGCAATATCGAGGCATACGCACAATATGCACATATGCCAATAACAGACTGATCAATTGCAATCTTAAACCTTCAAATGTGTCAGCTTAAGACGTATCAAATCATCGGTAATTGTACAAGAGACTATACATAAACCGTCTTCAGTAGATCGATGTAAGGGAGTATGGATAAAAACTTGTTAAAGTGTCGGCAGGTCGTTTATAACTCCCTTCACTGCTGTGTAATCCAAAGAACGAAGAAGGAAGGCCACATTTCGAAATCGCATTGAGGGGAGTATTATTATATCACTAGTAGATGACTAAAATAAAGTCCATGTACTATCAAACCACTCCGGTAATTTATACATCATAAAAACGCCCATCATTTGGGTACAAAAATACTCTCATTACAGCAAATATTGTGGGCTTTGAGACTGGATGTATTCGGTCCACTAAACAAACTTGATGTATGTATATCTATTAGATCCAATAACTGCATCTGTACTAAAGGAACTCGCGAACAAAACAGCTCAACAGAGACTCTCACTCACTATACAGTCAAAGCGCAATAACGCACGGCAGATCAAAAAATGGTTAATAAACAAATTCTTCGAGTACTTGAAAATCAACTGAGACATTTTGGCCGTGTGGATTTCGTTCTTGAGGTGTTGTTTTAATAGATGCTAACTTGTGCGTTTTACCCTCGTGGAGGAGCATAGTCCGCCAACCAGGATTCTTCAACCAAATCTGTCTTGAATTCTCGTTGTCAATTGTTTTAATTGCTATTGTCCCTTTTGATATCTGCCTCCAATTCGCGATATTATGTGTTTTTTTAATCTTCCGCTTGTTCGTTGCCTTTCGCGATTTAAAGGTAGGGTTTGACTTATTAGGGGATCTTGCAAGTCTTTGAAGATAGGCATACCCCGTTGGGGATCAATGTGAAGAAAAGAGTATCATATAAGTTTTGTGACACTCATGAGTTGAGCGTTTCGCGTGCGTTTGAGTACCAGAACACTGAAATTGAATCAATAGGTGTAATTGAAGATAAACTCTATTAGAGATGGTAACCAGGAATTTGTTCCGTATCTCCCGTAGCAATGAACCGGTTTCATGTTTATTCCTATGCTGAATAATGATAGAGTAACTGAATAGTGATAGAAGTCAGACTTATCAACGAAGTCCACCGTAGGTATATGATGTACTCATAAGTCGTTAATGAGGTAAACTTTGTGACGGTTGTCGGTTGAAAATTATGCGTAGTCCTCTGGTTGTGAGAGCATATCATTGACGTTAATCGGCAAAGGCGTGATAGTTGTAGATAGTGTGTGTAGAGCACTGGAGTAGGAATGAATTTGTCTTCTTGATACCCCTTTTTTTTCCTATTGTATCACATCCAGATCGTTTAATTTTCGTATTTCTACATTAGCGAAACCAGAATACCTTGTTTGAGAGATACAATTATCCGTGTTAGACTGGACTAACAAAAACAGATCGAGATCAGGATAATAGAGAAAGTGTTTGTCGCGTAAACAATACTTGTGGTTTTGCGACTATAGGTAAAGATACACTGGGAACCACTTAAATTTCTCTCCGACGGTTGTAAGATATGATGCAAAGTTATGTCGCTTTCTGGAACAAATACTTAGCTGTGTACTGTTGTGTAAAACATTAAGAGAAGCCTAGAACGTTCCATGGTTATCAGACCAGGACATTCGACGTTTTCCCCTAACTCATCATCTTACATGTACTTGTCACAACCATCCCGCTTATTCGAACACATGTATAATTTTATTTCCAGTATACTAGTATTTTTGATATAAACTATAAAATTCCAGACACTTTGTCATTGATAAATTCCTTGTGTCAACTAAACAGAACTGACATTGTCAAAGTGGGTCAAAATAACTACATCAACGTATATCCGCATTTCTAAAGCCCCAGAGCAAACAGATGCGTAAGAACACTTTATCATACAATTGATCGAAAAATTGTGCATTTTAGCGAAAACATTGTTCTCAAAACGTCTTTGTTTCATCATACAGCATGTCTCGGGCATCGGCCTACTTCCAGGAGGTCCACTTATCGACTCAGAATACGCAGATGACATAGTCCTGTTTGGTGAAGACGCTGATAAAATGCAGAGTCTTCTGGTAGCACTGAGCAACAATGCCAGGATTTCTGGGATGCGTTTATCCCCCTCTTAATGCAAGTTGTTGCTTCAGGACTGGTCTGCGTCAACACCTGAACTAAGGATAGGTAGTGAAGTAGTCGAAAGCGCTGACATTTTCACTTATCTTGGAAGTTTGATTAGCCCTAATGGGTTGGTGTCTGACAAAATCTCAGCACGAATTCGAAAAGCTCGTCCGGCTTTTGCCAACTTATGCCACCCATGGCGAGGGCGAGATATCCGTCTATCAATTGAGGGACGAGTACACTGCGCGGCAGTTTGTTCTGTCCTACTTTACGGCTGCGAAACGAGGCCATTAAGAGTAGAAGATACTCGTAAGCTACTAATATTTGACCACAGATGTCTTAGAAATGTTGCTCGCATCTGCTGGGATCACCGGGTAAATAATAGTGAGGTTAGACGCAGGGTATTAAGGAATTATGACGAATCAGTTGATGAGGTTGTGAATCTTTATCGACTGAGATGGTCGGGCCACGTGCTGCGTATGCCTAAACACCGATTACCACGACGCGCAATGCTAACCGGTATTGGGGATGGTTGGAAGAAAGTTAGGGGCGGCCAAACCAAAACGTGGTATCAGTGCTTGAAGTCCCTAACTTCTAGTCTGGGCCATGTTGGTAGATGCAGACTATTTGGTTGGGGTCCGCGTGACTATCGTAACCAATGATTGGAGAATCTGGTTGATATGGCTCAGAATCGATCACAATGGCGTCAGTGTATACACTCTGTCTTCCTTCGATCTGCGAGATTAAAATTGTTTTATTATCTTTCTACGGACTAATTCTATTTTTCCCTACTATGTACTTATACACAATCTTCTTTTACATATTACTACCACTGATGTGACTGCTTCTAGAAATTCGGTGTTCATCATGTTGTGCTAATGAGGTGTGGCAACTTGGACCGATGCACGTATGTGCTTTGTCATACGTTTTATCTGTCTGACAGATTATGCCGTTACATGAGCTGCCGGAATCGTAGTTTTGTCTATGATTCACCGCTGATGCACTATCGAGGTCGCGGGACTTGCATATTGTTGGTAATGTTATCCTTCTGTTTTTTGTCGTACACGATTTCACTCGTTTGGCAAACATTTTATATTCTTCGCTGAACAGTACCAGATTATGTGTCAAATATTGATGTTGCACTGCCAGACGTAATTGAAATTTACTTCATTATTTTTTTTGTGCATTATGTAGGAGTCACTTACAGCTAGTGGTTGTTTATTGTTGATACTGTAACATTTTCTGGGTAGTCAAGCTTTATATTCCAACTGCTTCCAACGGCAAGTCTGATGCCACCACGATTTCCGTTTAGCTTCGGTCTAGGATTTGGACTGTTTGGTATGGTGGAGTAATGCAAACTGTTTTGACCTACTTGACATATCAGTATCCTTAAATGAAGCCAAAAACAGGTTGGACAGTTACGTGAGAAAGACTTTCGTTTGCCGTTGGAAACGTATTCCCAATTAATTCGATGTGCTGAATTAGCTACTGAGCTAATGCTACGAAGAATGTCTTCAAGGACAGTTGAAAACCACCTTTAAGTTATGGATGAACCACAGTAGATACACACTTCTAAGCTTATCTTAATCAAAATTCGCGGTGTTATGAAAGGTGGCACTGGGTTAATTTAAAACGTGGTTGCCTGCTGCAGGGCGTTTCCATTGTTGCGATGTTTTATGAAACCCTCATTTTACGGTATAGGCACAAAGAGTACTCAGCGGGTCGCAAATCAACAAGAGGAAGAAAAGTGTTTCAACGACAGAAAATTGTGTTAGCGTACTTGACATTATGGATAAATCAGTCGAATCAGAGCAATTTCTTAAGGCTTGCAGTTTTTCCTGTAGTGTCTAAACTGTGGGGTTGCTCAGAACTGCACTATTGCACATTATGCACACGACTAGCGTAAACAGTGAAAGTGGTGACACGTTTTCGCTACACTACCCCTAGCCTTCAGATTAGTAAGAAAATAGCTGATCTCAATGCATATATAGGACGTTATCAAATGGAATGGTACTTACTTCTATATATACTCTAAATGAAACGGGACCATAGTTTTGGATAAGTGACGAAGTCAGCCCATCAACAGAGAATTTGAAGTCAACAATATTTTATTGTATTATGGAATCTTGACACACTGACACAAACGATAATGCATTGCGTAAAATGAATACCAATGACAACAACAATTCACACAAATAATTTAATTGGCAATGATCTG